TATTGTGTTCAGTGAACGTAGTAATTACTTCGTTACTGGCGATGGTACAGAGAAAGGATGAGAGCGGACACCCTTGTCTCCCATTGCTTGTGAAACTGCTGCCCCGAGACATCGTACTGCCCTAACTATGCGCCTAAAGTGCTCTAATGAACCTTTCCCACGCATACACTCCAATAGATCACATTGCTGCATCGATTCAAAGGCTGCTTTTTTCTCAAGGGGTACGATTACAATGTGCCAGTGATATAATGAGCGGCACTTCAACTAGTGACTTAAGAAGAAGATGTGATCAATATAGCCACGCTTATGAAGTTTTTAGGAATCTGTCTTTCACGAACTCCATTGCGTTTAGGAATAAAGAGAGTGGTAAGCAACTTTACGGTAATTGAAGTAAGACTGATAAATCTATGATCGTTGCAGTTTGAAAGTGAGCTTCCTGTGAAGATCAGGATTATGTCCGAGTGGCTTTACTCGATTGACAGTTTATTAATTCCAGGTTTTCCCTAATATGTCGTACAAATCATCTGGAAGACAGGTCACCAAAATTTGCGGAGGTCTGCACAAGATCCTGCGGCCCTACACAGTTTCGACAGTCTTATCTCATGTTTAACTTCTGCGCAGGTAGGTAGATCCTGACAGACGGTCCATGGAACCATGTGATGACTAGCCGACAGGAAAGCTGCTAATCCTGGCATTAGATTGCTCTTAACTTTTCTTAACCAACGCTCCAAGTGTTTTTAATGGTTATTGACGATTTTGCTACCATGTCACTAGCTACCTGGTTTCCATACGAGACGGAAAACTTCCGATGGTTACCAAGGGCAACGATTATTTACATCCGCAACCCATGATGCGACGATTAGGTTTTGTGGTTATACTTTAGGCTACAATGCAATGCTGAGGTAAGACCTTGGCAATTCGCCTTCGCTTCTTGCTGAAACATGTGGATACGCGTCGGAAAGTTTTGCGATCTGCGTAGTGATTCATTACCCAGACTGGCAATTAGAATTGCCAAACAGAGACATACCTGCTGCGAATAACATGTGGCGAGTACACCACCCATGACTTTCAACTGTATGCAGTGGGCATTTACTGAACCCGAATGCCAGCAACTTTGGTACACATCCAGCAAAACTGGTTTCGTCACTTGAAGATCGCACGAAAATCACAAGCATATCAGCACAAAAATAAAGGGCAGTAGCTGACAAAACCAACCACAGTGTGCTTAATCGATGGGTACACTTTTCACATGACAAACGCGATAGATCATTTTCAAACCCATCAAGATTATGACGGCTGCCCAGAAGGCGTAAAGCAAGTGTATCTTTCTCCCAAGTAAACTTACCACTGGAATTTAGACTCTGATGTAAAATCAACCGATTAACCGAAGTGTAATATACAGACTTCGTGGTAGAAGCACTTTTGTATTATAGCATTGCAAACCTTCTGAATGCTGCAGTATTCTGAGTACGAGTGGCGGACACCTCATTCTGGTTATCGTAGAGAGCACTGATAGTTTGCAATGGTGGCCTAATAATGTTTACTCATGAATAGGGGGTTTGAAATAATTAATTGAAGCTCCTCGCAACGACTTCAAAATCAGATAGTTCTCCACATACCAGAAGACGCACTAGACGGCCGTTGCGAGCTTTTGGGTCTTACCAATAGCGCGTTTCCATCGGTTCCTTCAAAATCCGATACCATGACTACCAGTGGCTTGAACTGTTGTCTAGTGCTTCTCTTGGTCTGTGGTAGATGTTCTGATTCGGAAGCCAACTCAGTGCACTTGTAATTAATTAATGATGTACGTTCACAGACTAAACTTGGGAGCTTTGGTGATAACGCTTAATATAATAAAGGAATGGGGTTTAAGGTATGGCCCAAGCGCATAAGATGAGCTTATAACACTATCTTAGAAATATATATCTGGAGCTGAGGAGATGACATCGGTAGAGTAGTCTTCTATCTACGTTCGCTGCCTGCATCATTACGAATCCGTATTTTGGTATCACGCATACGTTGAACTGATAGCCAGCCTCGGATCCTGTGGTAAAGGTGGGATGTCCCCCAATGTTTCGAAACGACCACTGGGTAAGCCACTTGGACTACGACTTGGAAGTTAAGAAGCGTCCACAACGGTCAATGCGCTTGTGATTAGGCGATATTTAAATGTAATTAATAGAAGGTGCTTCCAGGTCAGACTGACTGTCATGCGTCCATGAAAGCAGTAGACGGTCGTTCCCCCCTATTGAGAAACGTCAGTAACTCACACTTGTAGGCCCGGTTAGGATGTAGAGCAATCACCTCTCGACATTGATGGCTTGCGCAGCAAGGCAGCAGCTAATGCTACTGAGCCACGAGTGACGGTGGCGGACCGACATGAGTTCTATTCTTACTACGCTATGGCGCCACTCATTCTCGATTACTTTGCAGGTTACAAACGCTGCAGAGAATTGAACTGAGGTCTAGAGTCGCAGCTTCTCTGAACGTCAACTGCGCGAGATATAACATCTGAAAAGTAATTGCTTGTGAGTAGGAGTTTTTATGATATAATCGTTGAGGTGTTATTCGCCGTAGCTTCCAAGCTAGACAGACTGCCACGCGTCTGGAAGAGCACTATGTATGAACGAGATGCACGTCCCCACGATGTGGAAGCACGGAATCATCACGTCAATCTACAAAAGTGGCAACCGTGCTGAACCAGAAAATTATCTCCCGCTAACTTTACCTCCTGTGATCTCCAAAGTTATGGAGTCCATTGTAGCTTAGGCTTTGATGGGGGTACCTACAGAACAACAAAATTCTCGTTCGGGAGCAGCACGGATTTCGCCAAAATCGCTCCTGCACCACTAATCTGTCGATTGCTCATGCAAGTTGGACGGAATCTGTTGACTCTGGTGAAGGAGTCGACGCGGCCTAACTGGATTTCTCAGAGGCATTCGACCGTCTAGGCCATCGCATTCTCCTCCACAAACTCCAGAAATATGGAATCGGCGATCCTGTTCTGGGCTGGATAAGAGACTTTCTCGTGCAACGTCACTTGAATGTGTGGGTTCGAACCAACCTGTCGGAATCCATCGAAGTTCACTGCGGCGTACCTCAAGGCCCGGTACTTGGACCCCGCCTGTTCCTGGTTTTCATAAATGATCTCGCTAGCGTGCTGTCTTCTAACTGTTTGCTATTTGATGATGATCTGAAGTTATGGCGTATTATAGCTGCAGTGGAAGATCACACAGTGTTACAGAAGGACCTGGACAAAGCGTACACATGGTCCATCGAGAACATGCTGAATTTCAACGTCACCAAGTGCAAAGTTCTCAGCATACGGCACAAGAGTATGTACAAGTACCGCCTAGGACCACAAATTCTACAGCGGGATTCTCACGAGTGCGATCTCGGCGTGATAGTTCAAAATGACCTCGGTTGTTTGAGGTAGACTGCAAAGGCATCTAAGAAGGCAAACCAGTACCTCGGCCTTCTTCGCAGAGCTTTCGGGAAGTTTGACCCTTCAGTCTTTCAAAAAATGCTTAGTGCCTAAGTGTGGCCGCAAGCGGAATACGCTATTCAAGCGTGGTAACCCTGGCTAAAGTACCATCTTACCGCACTCGATACTGCACAACGTAGGGCAACGAAGAGCGTCAGAGGTTTAACCAGCCTCCCCTACCCACTCAGGCTGAAGACCACGAAAATATACAGTGGACGTTATCGGCGTCTAAGGGGCGATCTCATAATAGTGTACCAGATCCTGAGAAACCCCAAACACCCATGCCATTCCCTTCTAATACTCAGTCAAGACACCTCGCTAAGAGGTCACCAGTTTAAGTTAGTCACGCAGTACAGCCTCCTGGAATGTCGGCGAAACTGTTTTTCCCTTCGAGTGGCACAGCCTTGGAACGCCCTCCCGGAACATGTGATTAATTCACCCACCCTATCCCTTTTCAAACAACACCTTGACGATACCCTGTCACATTTACACTACGTGCTATAGCCCATAATCACCAGATGCTGGCACTAATGCACAACAGACAGATAGTGCCACAACCCTACGCGAGAATGTGTCACTCCAAACCCTTTGCACAAAATTTGATAAACGCTACACTATAGAAACTGGATTTCTGTATCCCGTCGACCCAAGATAGTCGCACACGAGTAAGCGCTGTCCTTGCTATTTTTTATTGTTTTCTAACCTATTACGTGATCAATAAACACCCCTTATGGCATTGTGTGCGTACATTATAATTTCAAACCCTTTATACGGCAGCGCGGTTACATCTGTAATCGCCTGAACTGATGATTCCATTATCCCTTGATCTACCTTTTCTCACTCTAAACACCCTACGGGACATGTCAAGCACCAGCTATTTTACCCGTTATAAATCATTGTTCATTGTTCATATTGTGTACTAATTTTACAACTACTTGGTTAATTGTTGGATTCTTTGAAACTGGCATCACATTGAAGCTGACAAATAAACAGCCTCCTGCATACCCTATGGTGGAAATGTTTCCAGTCGGGGTCAACATGTAGCGAGAATTGCCAGATGACGCCAACGGACCTAGAGCATTCGACAGACCACTGACGAACACTGTTCCCAATAATTGAAGATAAGACACGGTAGTGAGGGACGAAAGAATACTGTGCTGAACACTGATTCCGTCTGTTGCCTAAAAATACGACACCGGACGATGGGCAACTAGTTAGGGAAGGAAGTGAGAGACCACGCGATTGAGCGGCGTACTGAATCCAACCGTGGCGCCATATGTATGAATTGGATGTGTGTTAGGTCAGAAACAAATTCAACATAAATATTTCAGCGACCTGCAAATAACCTTTAAGTGGACAGTAAGCTGGTACTTGTATTTAGTATTTTGCACAAAACACTAGGACGAACCGGGGGAATTTCCAAACAGCTTCACTCTCTTGTGTTTATGAGCTACATTTAAGCATACTATAGCCTGATTGAACCATCAGTTCCATTCTTTATATTGTTTTTGTTCAGCTTTTACCGCCGCCCACTGACCTCAACTCCCAACTATTATCGCCCAACAGTAAACAGCGTATTGCGCTGTCGCTATTCGGACCTACAAGAGCCTAAGGATTATGTTTCTTCGGACTATGCCAATCACATTGCAAGGAGGGCAGTGAGTGCCTATCTGTTATTTGCTTGTTCCGTATACTCTTATATTTATTTTCAAATTACAGTAAGAAAATTTAGAATAAAAGTTTGGCTCACATGTGTTATACCCGAAGTCAAGATGCATATAGACGACACCTTTCACAAGGCTAACTCAATGTTAACAGAAATCACGATTGGGTCCAGATATGTCAATCGTCATTGTCATACATAGGTTTCTAGTGCGTTAAATTCCGTGACATTCAGGATCTTTTGCTTATACTAGTCTGTATAAACCTTCGTGTTATGTGGTTTCCGTTGTTCAGTATTTTTACGTTGCGGAATCTACTTTCTTTCCCACACAGAAAGATGCGCCCCACTGCACCATCACCTGTTACAGGCGTAGAGAAAGCAGGGTGGTGCGAACGAGTTGTGCACTTTAGAACGAACGTATACATGGTATAAGATTTCTAACCAAGACAAGTCGGACTCATCTGCATACCTCCTTCATGGTGCCATTTAATTGCACTCTGCGCCTTGTGGTAGCGACTCAGCTTGCTGTGACGGTAAGGTATAGATTCAATGCTCCAGCGGCATGCAATTTCAGGGCTAGCTAAAGTGAGCAATACTCGCCCGTCGTCCACACACACACACACACGCTATACACGTTAGCTAGAGTTGGGAAAAACCTCAGCTACGGTGCCGCAATACATAGAAAAAAGGAGAAGAAAAGCAACTGGTGCAAGCCAGCTGAGCGACCGGTAACGGATGGGCATCCCTCCGGTAAGCTATCTGCCGGCTATTATGCAGCGAACAAAGTAATCTCTAATGCAAAAGTATAAAATGTTAAATAATGAGATCGTGGTTGGAAGGGGAGGCTAAGAGGGATGGGGTGGGACAAAGAAACTCACAGCAGGAACGCCACTGAAGTCGGCTCCTAGCCATACCAACAAGTGTATCCAGCCAAACATGTTCATCGTCCTTCGGACCCCAACCAGGGAGCCGAGACGCGCCAACTGAGGCCAGCTTCGAAGTGAGGGCCTTTATTCCTCTCGACCAAGTCATCGCTTGGTCACGTCTCCTCTTCTTCCATCCATACCCGCGGCGCGCAAACAACGCACGCCGCGGGAGTCGGTGGGCCGGCATGCGTAACATGTGGCCGAGCCATCGGAGCCTGGTACGTCCGCGGTGATCCATTACTCGCTGTGTTCGTTGCGCCTGCTCGTTGCTCCATCCTACTCATTAGTTGTGCACCCCACTCCTCCCGCGTAAAGTCTTCTCGGCCGTCGACCTCACACGGTCTCTCCAACCTTCGAACTATCCATGTATGCCATAGATTCCTCTCCTCAGTCGTCTCAGTTTCTCAATTTGCTAGCGGGAACTCGCCGCCTATATCCCTGTGGAGCGATGGTGTATACGGGGCCTCCTCCATCGAGTACGTCATATGGTCCCTTCCAGTTTGGCAGGAGTTTCCTGTCGCCTGGGCCACATGCGATCGCGCCTTGGAGATCTTTGTACTTTAGCTTCGAGCCGATTGGAAAGTCGCCGAAAGGTTTTCTCATATTCACCCGGAATTTCTCCATCATCCGCACCAGAGCTGCCTTCAGGTTTCAGTTCGCTACCTTCCTGTTGTTCCGTGCTTCCCTCGGCGATAACTGGCAGGTCGGCCACATTCCCACCACTAGATCCTCAGGAATTCGGGGCGCGTGGCCACACTTTAACTGAAATGAGGATTGCCTGTTGCTTGGATGCGCGGTGAGCTAGCACAAGTGGTGGTACAGCTCCTTCCCAATCTCTCCATTTCACCGGCAGCCATTCTTTAATTGCCCTATTTTTGAAGCATTTATTTTCCGATGAGGCTTTCAAGAAAAACGTTAGCATGATAACACGACATGATTTATATCCGGAAAGATTTCTCTCCATATTATCTAGTGCGTACTGTAGATTGCGTGGAAACATATGGACCTAGCATCATGAACATCTGGTATAGTTGGGATAGCAAATTCACCATAGGACACGCCGACACACACACACACACAGACGATCACTCACACACTTGTTCGTTTGTCAGCTGGCCTACTACCATGGCAAAGCCAATGTGACGAACGCGTCCTTTTGTACACATAGGGTGGGGCCCAGTTGTTTGATGGCCATCGCTTCGTCATATCATAAAACATGGGTGTTACTTGACGCGAAGATCACCCGGAAGTTCAAATACTGACCCTTCCATGTGAGTTTGCGGCATACAGATCTACGTATCGATCCCTCATGCCTGCGTTCTATCAAGATGTCAAAATACGGCAAACTATCATTCTGCTCATGTTACCACCGTGATGTTTTGGTGCAGGCTATCTAATTTGTTACGCAGTTGACTGAGATGGACCTCTTGATTAAAAATGAACAGGATTTCGTCCATAAACCTGCGAAAAAGCACGGTTTGATTAATTTCGTTCCTAGCTTGATTTGCGAGGTGAGGAACAAAAATATCCGCCAGTAATGGTCCGAGCGGACTGCCCATTGAGACAACATCCAGATATCGATAGCCTTGTTGTTGAAAATAAAATTTTACATTCGATGTGCACAGGAGTAGTAGTCTTTCCATTTCAGAGACTGGAAGGCCTATTTCCAACTGCATCTCAGTCACGTAGTTACACATAATCTGGATAATCTCCTTCAGTGGCACATTTGTGAACAGTGAGATAATGTCAATGCTGGACATAACCTTGGCTTTCAGCTCTTTGCTGTCCAGTAGCTTCACTAATTCGTATGTGTCTTTTAGACTGTAACTAAGCATTGACTTCCTGACTGGATCAAGTAACTTGACTAATCACTTAGCCAACTTATGTTGCGGCGAATTGCTCATAGATAGAATCGGTTTCAGTGGCACACCTTAATTGTGTGATTTGGCAACCCAAAGAGCTGTGGTGTTTGCGTGCCCCTAGGTATCAAGGATTTAGCGGTCTCAGCCATAGTAAAGTTTCCCTCCAGAAATGTTTGTAACTCCGTATTTATCCTCCTCTCTAGTCCACTCCATCACTCCATTCGTCTGGGGATGGTAGGGAGTGGTTCATATCATTTTGATGCCGTTTCTCCAAACATGTCCGGAACTCGTCACTTTCAAAGCATGGGCCTTGGTCCGTTAGTATGGCCCTCAGAATTCCGTGTCCCACTATCACTTGCCTCATCACCGCACATGTTATAGTGCTAGCCCGCTGATCCGGAATTGCCGAGGCTTCAATCGAGCGGGTGAAGTGCTTGATCATCACGATGATTGATTGCCCCGTCTAGTTAATGGGAACGACCCCATCACATCGACTGACCACAACTCATCAATCTCGGACACCGGAATCGCAGGCGTGGGTTGAGGTATTCTTCGATCGTCTCCCTTCAAAAACTGACACTGTTGACACGACAGAATGTATGTATCGACCTCTTTTTTCATACCCGGCCAGTAAACTCGCTGCCTAAGCAAATTATATGTTCTGATGCATCCGGTATGCGCCATCTAGTGACAAGAGACCACCAACTTTTTCTGCAACTTTGGTGGGATCACCTGCACCGGCGTAGCGCCTCGCCCTTATGCCCGCATCAGAATTCCGGCTTCGCTGATTTGCATTTTTTCCTAGTCCGGCGCGAACGACCCGAATTGTTTGCCTTGGCTTTTGGTTATCACAGTTTGATTCTTTATTCGTGCTGTTATAGGCCTGTTCAAGAGCCTATCCTTTCTTGACTCAGCTGCTAACCTCCCCGTATCCTGTTCTAGCACCAAAGCACGGACACCAAAGGCAACGTTCGGCAACTCATCCTCACTTGTCATGCGCGACAAAAATCGGCCGTTCCGTTGTCCATCCCTGATATGCGGCTTATCGTGAAGTCGTATTCTTGTAAGCGCAACACCCACCTAGCCAACTTGCCTCTGGGGTCTTTGGAGGATCCAATCCATTTCAATAGTTTGTGATCTGTTCTGACCTGAAAGTGTTGACCTGGTAACTACGACCGCTACTTGTCCAGCGCCCAAACAGTTACCAAACACTCCTTCTCTACCGTTGAACACTTGCATTCCGATGGTGTTAAAATTCTGCTAGCATCTTCAAGCATCCCTTGTTTTTGCCACAGTACCGCACCGATTTCGACGTCACTTGCGTCTGTGGTCACCGTGCACGTTTCTCCGACGATGGGTAATTTAAAAGTAAGATCCTGCCATTCCGTTTCTTTCTGAAAATCGACAAACGCTCGCTGAGCTTCTGAGGTCCACGTGAATTTCTTCCCATCTCCCAACATGTCGTAAAAATGTGACGCCAAACGGTTAGAATTCCAGACGAATTTATGGTACAATGAACAATGAATTTATACGGGTTAAGAAGAGTTGCTTTACAAGTCCCGTTGGATAGTTGGTGAGGATATCAACATAACAATAATGATGATAAGGATAGTAAAATAGTTAATACTTTAAATATGAAAATAAGGACTTATCGTTTGCTTCGCCGCAGTCTTGCGATCCTCTTAGATTCACAACACCCACAGTTAACAACAAATAATTCCATGGTAAACTCCAGGTGTAGGATGGAGACGTAGTGTTAAGTGACAAAGTGTAAGTGGATGAGTGCTTCGTCCAACCGTCTTTTAAATACTGTTAGTGTCGGTGCAGAGACGACCGATTCTGAGAGAGCATTCCACGGCTGACAGACACGAATGGAAAAGAAATTTCTGTGGCACTCTAGACAGCTCTACTGTACAACGAATTTCAATGAGTGGCCCCTCAGGTTTGTATTGGTGCTGAGTTGTAGTAAAGGGCGGCACACATGATCTGGGTCTCGCAAAATCAAGTGTGCCATAATAAAGTCACCTCATAGTTTGCGATAGCTTCCACTGAACACTCCCAGTCGTTGCAGCCTCTCCTGGTAGGAAAGATTGCGCATTCCAATTACGTTTTTAGGTGCCCGGCGTTGTGGTTGCTCCAGTGCATTAAGGTCATGTTTCAGCCATGGATGCCAGGCTAGAATTGCGTACTCAACATGCGGGCGAACA